ATCATATTTATAGAGAAATTTCGATTTTGGTAGGTGGTTAACTTAGTAGTTAAACAGATGCAAAAAATGGATGCAAAAGAATTAATCGTAATCTGGTAGCACTTTTACAACCAATTTACAACCAAATAGTAGTTAATTGGTTGTAAACTTAATTAGATGTATATTAGTCGTACATTTACAACCAATGAGTGGCAATTTTACGACTAACTTACAACCAACTAGTAGTTAATTGGTGGTAAAATATATTAGATGTATATTAGTCGTAAATTTACGACCAATGAGTGACAAATGTTCTTTACGACCAATTAGGGACTACATTTGTAATATACTTAAAAAAAAAAGAGAGAAGAAAGACAGTGGAATCACAACTCCATAGATTCTAAGCGAAACCAACGTTTCAATGTTAGTCCCGCATTAATCTTTTGGAGTTGTGATCCCAATGTCTTCTTTTCTCTTTTTTCTTAAATTTTTAAACTCTTCGACTCAATTATCAACTCTCTTTATTAATATATTTCAAAATATTAGTTTAGAAATATTTGGAAAAGAAGAGAAGAAAGATACTAGAATCATAATTCCGTGGATTCTATGCGAAACCAATGTTTCAACGTTCGTCTCGCATTGATCTCTTCGGAATTTTGATCCGAGTACCTTTTTCTAATCTTTTTCAAATCTTTCCACACTATATCTAAAATATTTTAAATTTTTTGTTTGTCTTTTGGGAGAAAACGATGGTTCTTTTATAGGGGATATTACGACTACTTAGCTTCTAACCTTTACGACTAATTAGCATCTGGAACCACCCTTTAGTCGTAACCGAGTCGTACATTACGACCAATTAGCTTCAACCTACCATTAAAAGCTTTGACCGAAATCCTCAACATGTGTAGTCATACACTAGTCGTAATTTAACGACTAGAGTACGTCTACAAGGACTTGTAGTCGTACATTAGTCGTTATGTTACGACTAATTGACGTCAACTGATATTGGTAGCAATTTAACCTCCGAGTTACGACTAATTATTTTTTAGACGTAAAATAGTCGTAATGGCGATTTAAAATTACGACTACACGTATGTAGTCGTAATTCGTGGTCGCTATGACCACGTTCTCTTGTAGTGAAAGGACTAAACCAATCACAATACAAAGTAAGAAGAAGATGTCAAGGGAATTGAATTTTTACATTGGGAAAGAGAAGGACTGCGCTGTTTGAATTTCGGGTAGAACGGTATGAAGTTGTAGGAGTTTTCCAAGAAACAGCAGGAAGTTCTTTCTCATCATAGCTATCTCTTTTATCATCATCAGCTTGTTTATGTGTTTCATCTACTACTACGACAACCTCTTTATCTGGTGGTGGAGGCATAGGAAGCGCAGGAGTGTAAGCAAGTAACTCTCCTGATTTATAGAGCTCACCTGACTTCATCAAATCAACAGTGAAACTGTTTCTCCTTAAGGGAATACTGAAGAGAGACTCGTTAGAAGTGCAGCTCCAGTCAATGGTATATTCGATCTGCTTCTCTCGAAAACCGAATAAGGGATCCTACTTGGGTTGTAGTTTATCGTTCCTTGGTCTCCTTGGTTGTTACTATCAATATCCCTGTCCACTACTTGAACAGGAGGTGAACATGTTGGACAAATCTGTGGATCGGATCATTTGATGATGATTCTTTGTCATCCTCTGGTAGATGTTTGGTGGTGATGAATATGAGAAGAAGCTGAGGAAGAGGATCTTGAATGTGTTACTGAGTGGAATGAGATCACACTTTATGTTTCATCAGAATGGATCCTTTTTTTGCTCACCATCTCCATTTACACCTATTAACAAGAGATCTTTATCATGTTCTGACTCCATAACAAACCTAAAGTACAATCAAAACCTAAGGTATTTATCGGGTTAATCGAAACCAATATCCATCAAAATGAAAAAAAAAAACATCTACAGAACATATATCAGTTAAAGACACAAATTAAACATACCTGGTCTTACAAAATGATTTGATCAGAAGAGCAGGGACTTGGTTTAAGTAAAAAGACGATCTTGATCAGTGATGATTCTTCTTCACACTTGGATAAGCTGTGAATTTCGTTAGAAGCAGAAGAAGAGGGATCTAAGGTTCGGAACTTTGTTTGGCGCCATGTCGACTTCTTTTATTTGTTTCTTACAACTTTAGGATCCAGTGTGGTAGGGACTATACTGGAAAGCATGATCTATCCAATAGATAGACACCTTGACTTTCTTAATAGCCAAGGAATTGGATTTGAAACCTTACAGAGCATAGCCACAGACAGTTTACGAAAAAATCTATTTAAGAAGACAAGAAATTCTTTTTTGCAACTTAAATCAAAATATGATTTATTTGGTTATTCCTAATGGTGCATATAGTAATTTACATAAGCTCCGGTTCTGCCTGTTCTCGATTCCGTGGCTGAGCTTTGGTGATAGTATCTTATTACTCCATTTATATTTGCCAAGAATTTAAATTGAACATAAGAGTTTATTTGAACATAAAACTGAATCAAGTGAGATAGGACCAAAGCTGGGTAGTCCACACCCTTAAAACATCACACGAATCCCATTTCACATAAGATAAGAGATTCTTAACAGAAAAATTATGAGCTAAACTCCTCTATGAAGCTGTTTAGGTCGTTGAAAGAAGACCCTCCTTCTTCCACAGCAGCGTTAGCCTTCTCCGCCAGCTTCTGTGCACGTCTCCTTCTCTCCCCCGCCTCTCCCCCATCCAACACTTCCCTCACCGCCTTATCTACTTTCTCTCGGCTAATGCAATCTCCTGAACCCTTCATCTGCCTTTTAGCTCCCACGGTCACTCCAGTTCTGAGCACTTGTNCAGCGTTAGCCTTCTCCGCCAGCTTCTGTGCACGTCTCCTTCTCTCCCCCGCCTCTCCCCCATCCAACACTTCCCTCACCGCCTTATCTACTTTCTCTCGGCTAATGCAATCTCCTGAACCCTTCATCTGCCTTTTAGCTCCCACGGTCACTCCAGTTCTGAGCACTTGTGTTACAAGTTTCTCGTTGTAGAATTGCTCCGCTCCAGACGGCCATGTCACCATCGGTACCCCAGCAGCCACTCCTTCAAGAAGCGAGTTCCAGCCGCAATGAGTCACAAACCCACCGGTTGCTTGGTGGTCAAGTATCAGCACCTGTGGTGCCCATCCTCTAATTATCAGTCCTCTCTCTTTCGTCCTCTCCTCCATCCCTTCTGGTAACCATTCGTCACTGTCTCCTGTTCAAACAAAATCTTGTTATTATTAGTCATGTGCATTTTGTGTATCCGTGTTTGTTCGGTCGGTTATATCAAGTACCAAGATAGTTCAGTTATTTTATATTTTCGGTACAGAAATATAGGAACTATTCGGTATTTGGGAATTCTGGTTCGGTCTCGGGTCGGTTATTTTGGTTTGGTTCTTCAGATATCGGGTAAATTGTATACACTAATTAAAAACAGAGCAACACAAGCAAATTAAAGTATGTTGTAAAAACTGAGATTGTGTTCTCAAGTACCTTTGTTTTTCCTAACAACCCATATGAAATTTTTGCCAGAAGCTTCTAAACCTGCAGCGATCTCTATCAGCTGCTCGTTCTTGATGCTAGCCACGCTCCCAAATGAAATGTAAACAACTGAGTTTGGTTCCTTGGAGTCTAGCCATTTGAGACATTCAACCTCGTCAACACTTGCTTTCTTCCCTCTCTCAGCCTTCTCCCCAAATCCTCTGTTTACAACAGAGAGCGGACCAATATGCCAGGCTCTCTTCGCTACAATTCTCTTATAAAAATCTGCATACTCAGGCTCAAGCTCGTAGAAGCTGTTCACAACAACACCTGAGCTCTCCACTTCCGATTTCTTAACCTCGGCCATGAACTTCCCCATCTCGGTTCCTTCGTCGCTGTCGTTGATCTGCTCTTGAGTCATAACTATGTTCCCGGGGAAATCAGGGATCACAAATGGTTCACAGCTCGAAGCTACTCTCTTCTGTGGTTTATGCAGTTTGATGCAATAAGAAAAGCATAAGGGGAAGTAGCCAAAGCCGTGGAACACAAGTCTTGGCACGTTGAACTTCTCAGCAGCTTGCGTCGCCCACGGGAAGAACATGTCGGCGATAAGACAATCCGGTCGCATTGTCTCGAGGAGATTCTCAACCTGGTCTTTGAAGTACCTTGTCGACAAAAAGAACTTAAGGATCATGTCTTCTTTATCATCATTGTTGTTTGAGGTAAGGAAATCAGCATTCTCGCATCCTTCTGGTAACCCCAGCTGCACGCAAGGGAAGTCCAAGACTTGGATCTCGATTTCAAGACTAGGGTTCAGGTTCTTGAATATGTCGATGTGGTTTTGGAGGATCTTGGAGTTGAGAGGTGTGGTGAGGATTGTTGATTTGGATCCTCTGCTTGAGAAAAGCTTAGCCATGTCTAGAGTTGGTATCATGTGACCATGAGCCATGAAAGGGAAGAACATAACGTGAAACTTTTGAGAATTACTACCCATGTTTTTGACTTTGGTCGAAAAGAAAACGAAAGGTTTGAAGCTCGTAGAGAAGTTATGTTTCTTTGTCGTGTTGAATGGTGGTTGTGAGAGATTATACATATCTGCATTTATATATAACATTCGGAACCTAGGAAATAGGAATCATTCTAGGCCAGTAATGGATTCTGACATCTTAGCATACGTCACTTGTTTCGGTTTCCTAGTTTGCTTCTCCTTTTGTTAACTTGTCAGAGTTGTCCGAATCTGTGATCTTTTAACTATCTACAGTTATGTGATCACATCACTCATGACGTCTTCTTAATCATGGCAACACATTATCATAATCGAATAATTGATTTATGAGAAATACAATAAATAGCACTAAATCATGTTTTATGATAAAATTAGCGCACACACACAGGGATTTTTTTAAAAATAAAATTAAATAAAAATTAAAAATACGTTTTTATTTTAGTTTAAATTAGTGATTATAATTTATGATTTCATTTTAAAGGGGGTGAGGGTAGGATTGGGGTTTATGTATTAGAGTAATTTAGTTTCTTGTCAAACGTTTGCTATTTTGGAAAACAAATTATAATGTGCTATTTTGGAAAAAAAAATATAATGTGCTATTTTGGCTAAACTTTATAATGTGCTATCTTAAAAAAATTTCCTTCTTCTTTTAATACATTGGGTCTTCAGACTCTTTACATTAGCAGAAAATTGATTTATTAATAACAAGTGGGTTAATGGTCCATCAGTGAAACTCCTTAAGAAGTAAATTGATGTTAACATCAAGTTGGTAAAGTTTTATATCTAAATCTGATGATGTAACAGTCTTTGCTGGCTGGTTTCTGGCAAGTTTTGTACAAGACTTGTGATCGTTTCAGCTGTTTAGCTTGTAGATGTTTCTTTGAATTTCCGCAACTGCAACTACTAAAGGAAAACAAGTCCTTAACAACTACATAATTAGTAGTTAATTGGTCGTAATACGCTATTTACGACCAAATAACATCGAAATGTGATTGGTCGTTATACCCTGGTCGTAATTCATTATTAGACGCACATTGGTCGTAAAGTTACGACAACAAGCTTTAGTCGTACATTAGTCATAATATTACGATTAACGAGTTGGTCGTAAGTTAAACGTAAAGGCCATAATCGTAAGAATGACATAAAAAAATTTATTCATACATTGATCGCTATATTACAACTACCACACAAGTCATCAATTGAACGTAGATAATTGGTCGTAAAACTGACGTAAATGATTTGTAGTTCATTGGTCGTAAATTTACAACTAAGGAACATCGACGGTAGAATGTAAATTAGTCGTACTTTAACGACTAGTAAACATCGACAGTAAATGTTCATTGGTCGTAAACTAGAGAATAATTTACGATGGAACAAAATTTATATTTTGTATTTTATTTTTAAATTAAAATAAAAATATTATAATTTTTAAAATAAATTTTTCTTTTAAAATTTGATAAATTTAATAGAAAATATCTAATCATCCTTCATAAACATAATATCCATAATATAAAAAATTCATAATACAAATTAATTAAAACCGAAAAACTAAGCATTAAGGTTTATTTCGTCGAAGAGATCGGAACCAATCTGCTCTGCACGTCGCTCTAAATCCACCTTCTCTTCTGGAGTGGGGTCGGGGTTAAAGATCAAACCTATAGCCTGCCATGCAGAGGCAACAGTCAGGTTTGGGTTCGAGTTATCTATCATCAGATCAAATATATGCCATAGCCTTAAATTTGTCTTTATGCTCGTCTATGACTCGGTTGGCAGCTGCCAAATCCCTCCATAGAGAGGAATCTTCTTCTATTATTGCAGCGTGTTCAGCTCTCGCCTTCTGGATATCGTTCACAGTCCTGATCCCAACTCTACGTCCCTTTTTCTTCGGGACAACCTTCAAATGATAAAT